GTAACAATGATTATGACGTTAAACTAAGCGGAACGTTTAATGTCTATATTGTGACGTCATAGATAAAATACTGCAATGATGATGAAAAAGTTCGGGAAAATCATAGGTAGTTTATAAGAGACTATTAAGTTTTGGCTTTAGAATACAAATAAAATGCTTTTCTTTTTCCCGTCTCTGGATATCACTGGCACATCTGAGTTTATAAAAAGGGAAAATGTTAAATCGTTTTTTTCCACAAGTTTCCAGGTGTGCACTTAACTGGATTTGTCTATATTCAGGTGTACTGATGTGTTGCTTATGTACACGTACACGGGCACGGAGACTGTTGCCAGTTTCACCAATATAATATTCTTTGCATCCAGGACATATGATGGCGTATATGACATCTTTCGTATCACATGACATGTTGGCATTAACTTTAAATTCACGCCCGTTAAAACTATAACTCGTCCCTTCTGTAATGTAGTCACATGTGCCGCAGCGAGGGTCCGTACACTTTGACACTGTATAATTATGGTCAGCGAATTGGGAGGAACAAAGTATTCTCATAAGGTTTTTGGGCTGACGTTTACTGCTGATAAAACGACAGTTTTTGTATGTAGTTTTCGTTTGTTCATCCTCTCTAAGTAAGCTATTTAATTCATAAACAATTGAATTGATGTTTTTATTTCTCGGATTGTACGTGTGAACAAAGGGTATAGTTTCTCCGTCCTTCGCACGTCGTGTGTTTGAAAGTAATTGTGTTCTATCACACTCCTTGGCTTTCATAATACTATTATCTACCAGTTGCTCTGGGTATTTTTGGCTCAATAAATACAATTTTAATTCCTCCAAACGGATATCCCTCGTATTAATATTGCTCACAATGGTACAGATCCTTCTTGCGAGATTATATGGTATAGCCGTTTTAGTATGGTGGGGATGGCACGATCCGAAATGCAGATATTGGTGTGTATCTGTCGGCTTATAGTATATATCCGTATTTAACCTGGTATTATCTTTTGATATAAGAACATCGAGAAATGGCATTTGCGTATCATCTGTTTCCATCGTGAATTTGATATCCGAGTTCATTTGGTTTAGTAGATCGTAAAACTCCGATAATTTGTCGACATCATCATCCCATAAGATAAAACAGTCGTCTAAAAATCTTTTCCATTTAGACTGTATATTATTTGCAGATTCTATTCGCCACAACGAACATAATTGTTCATGTAACTTATGTTCTAAATAACCTAAGGTTAATGTTGCATAGGTAGGTGCGACTTTCGTCCCCATTGGAGTTCCCTTAGTTTGAAGGTAATGATGGTCAGAAAAAGCAAATGAATTGTTTTCCAGAACTAATTTAAGTGCTTCTAAAATAAAATTCTGTTGGAATCTGTCATTTAGTATTTCGGGATAACTTTCCATCCAAAATTTTACAGCTTCCAATCCTAATTCTGTAGGAATATTAGTATATAAACTAACGACATCAAAAGTGACAAGTTTTGTGTTACAGGTGATCTGAGTAGGTAAATGATTTATGAAATCCAGATCGTCTCTTACAAAGCTGGGTACTTTTTGACAATATGGTTTTAAAAGTATATCCAATAAGTGACTCAGTCTTTGTGTTGATGAGTTTGGTCCTCCTACAATGGGTCTGAAGCATAAATCACCTGGATCAAGACACGTAATACATACACTATTTTGATTTGCTATGGCGTCCTTAATAATTTTAGACTTGTGAACTTTAGGTAAACCATAGAATTGGCTCTCTCGGAATTCAAAGTTTGTCAGGTAGTCCTGTTCTTTATCTGTTAAACCTTCCGATAGTGGTCCATATATCAGCTTTTTTATTTTAGTAATTGTTTTCTTCTCATGACAATTGTGCAGTCTTTCATAAAAGTTGTTGTCTTGTAACATTTGTAAGATTTTATTTTTGTAAAAATCCTTATTCATTAACACAACTCCACCTCCTTTATCAGCCTCTTTAATAATGATAGTAGGGTCATCGCATAGCCTTTTAAGAGCTTTTTCCTCTTCCTTAGAAAGGTTGGGTTTGATATTTCTGGGTTTGTTTGGAAAATGAATATTTTCTAATGTGTCGCAAACGGCATCCAAAGTTCGATTTCTTCCTCGTTTTGGATTAAACTTAGATTTGTTTCTTACCAGGTCTATTTGTTCTGCTTCTTGAGACTCGGAATCAGATTCATTGGTATCACTTTCATGAAAATATTCATATAGCCTGAGTCGTCGAGTATAGGCTTTAATATCCGTTTTAAGCTCTTGATTATTTACATGAGGTGTAGGGGTGTATTTAAGACCCTTAGACAGTAATTTGATTTCGGAATCCGTCAGATGTCTGTCGGAAAGATTAAATACTTTTGGTTCTATTTTAATTACATTCCTGGGTGCATCCTTGGAATTGTTGTTGTTAACAATTGTGGTAATTGGTTCTTGTATCTTTGGCCTTGGTTCATTTTGCCTCCTCCTAAAAAATAATTGCGTACCCCTCTTCCAATATACGTAGTTCTTTCGTTTCTGTAAAAGTTTGGTGGACGCCTACTTCTAACGTATCCTCGGTAATTTTCATTTTGTCTGTTATTGCCCTGATTCCGTCTTTTTATGCCTTTGTGGTACTTAGGAATCTGTTGATTTTGTGGAAAAGCACTACGAGAAGATTTACTTCTGGATTCAGAATTCTCGTATTGATTCTTATTTGCGGTTTTTCGTTTTCCCGAAAATGATTTTATTCCTTTATATATATATATATATTTAAATAAACAATGAAAATAATCGTTGTATAGCAAAATCTTAACAAGATATTCCTAATTTAAAATTATAGTACCATTAGATGTTCGCATACAAAAAATAAGCATGCATTACCAGGAGTTTTTGAATAGATATAAAATGACGAAAACTCTTGTATTATTCAAAGAAAAATATACAAAAACTACTAATCATATATTCTAGATGGGTTTTTTTCATCCAAATTTGTTTTAGAAGAGGTGTACAGCACCATATATAGACATTGAAAGAGTAGCACACAGGTCAACTCCAGGGAAAAAGACAATGATGTTCAAACTACGTTGCGTATATGTCCTTAAGAGTTTTGAATTACAATTTTACAGAAAATTGTGCATCTCCGAAAAAAAAGATTCTGGCGTTTAACTGTATTTCTCTACTACTATCTCACATTCGTCAACTATAGTTAAGAGTTGAAAACCATAGTTTACAAATCGCGAAACTATTTATCAGATTAACTATGTTTGCAATTGCGTATGATTGTTTCTAGTGAATATAGTTTACACTTGTAACATATAGATTAAGGCGTTAACTTTGGTTTAGAGATGTGAAATATAAATTAATCTCGTTAACAATAGTTTACGGTCCGTAAACTGTATTTTACAGTCGATAAACTTGGCTTACCAACTATGAGACTATGTTTAGCTCAAAATTGTGAATTTGGCGTGCCATACATAGCTGAAGATTGAAAGGTCAGTCTCACACACATTCCAGAAATCATTTAAAGCAATTTAATGAATACCCGGTATTTGCTGAAACCTATACAACTATGAAAACATTCTTTTACTTTTAAACTTTATACATTTGCAAAATATCATATTAAAATTGTTTTAGCCTTTTTAAAAAATTCTGTAACTTTCAGCATCAGAAGCAAGTCTGACAGTTTTGATATATATTATAAATGAATCATCCATGCATTGATAAGGGCTGAGTTTACATTTATTTGCGAATGGATCTACTCCAATAACTTTCCCTTACCAATCATCTAGAAAATATCAGACAGATGCAGCATCCGAAACATGACTGGTAGCAATCATCCGTAGAAGCATCATCTATGTACAGGGTGTTGCATAATATATGTTACATTTTGAATGTACAAATTGGCAAACACAAGAAAAAGATACAGACAAGTGTTTTCAACAATTTAATGCATGCATCCATTAGACTCACTATAAAAAAATTACTAACCAAAATATTAAACTCTGGACGAAATCTCAACCATTAATAAAAATAAGCGAAATTTCTAAATTTTGTCATTTTTGTTTTGTTGAATTTCATAACGTCATTGAAGCCTTGCATTACATTTTTTAAATGCCTATTTCAACTACAAAGGAAAGTTGTTTCTAGAAATTTTTATAATCGTTGACAGACATATGTTTTGCCGACACTCTCGCAATTTCATTAAATTCTAGGAGAAAAATGTTGAATTATCATAATCACTCAGGCCCTCCTTAAAAAAATATTTGCTTGCCCTCTCTTCCCGAATCAGGATAAAAAAAAAAATTGAAGGGTAGGTAGGTAAAGGGATTTTTTTTATCGAAAAAGTTAAACACTTGCGAATATGAAGTTAAAATAGTTATTAATAGGTGGGAGAAAATTATCGTTTCCTGGATGTTAAAAAAGAATTTGAGTCGGGCTGTTTTTAGTCAGTCGGTCGCGGGAGAGGACAAACAAGATGGCCTCAGTCAAAATTGTGACAAGCAAACAAGAGGTGAAAAGACATGGTAATTCCTGAGAGCGGCCCAATTGCACTTGGTTTTTAGATTAAAACAAATTCATACTTGAGAATAATATTAATATTATTCTTTATTTCTCAACAACAAAAACATGCATCATGCAAATACTATACACAAATATAAACTTACTGAAAGAATAAGATGATACAGATTGTGTAAGAGTAAATAATGACCAAACAAACACTGTAATTTAATTTTCAATTAAGAATAATAATCCTTTTCAAAACGTCTTTTTAAAACGGAAAGGTCCTTGGCATTACTTAAAGTAAGAATTCATAAAACGCTGGGTCTCAAAAAATGTCAAAAAACTTTAAAATTTATAAAATTATGAATTTATAAAAAGAAAATAGTGAACTTGCTTGTAGAGAAACGTGTAAAATTGTAAATCTCAAACCCATCAAAGATTAAAACTCTTAGATATATTTTTATTTATAAAAAACAAACGAAATATAAAATTTTAAAAAATGAGGATAGGGTTTCATAAGGTAAAAATAAAAAATAGCAGTGAATCAATATATGAAAAGCAATTTTAAAAATTTTTCATTGTCGCCAAGTTCATCACAGTGTTAAACATTTAAAGATAAAATAAAATGATTGTCCAGCCTTATATAGCAAATAAAACTTTGCCAGAAAAAAAAAACATCTGCAAAGCATGCAGCAAATGTGTTTTATAAATATACACCATGTAAAGCAATATACATAAGGCCCCATAAAAGGGGCGTGTAGCGCAGATAGCACAACATCCAAGCACAGTGGCACTGTAATGGTTGTGTCGGTCAGTCTGCTTGTATCTCCAACGTTTGTCGACCACTGCACCCATGCAGACATACCCTGCAGTAAAATAAAAGGAAAATATATCATATTAAGATGGTATTTGTAAAACAAAATACTAAGATATTTATCAAACTGCATGTACATGTTTACATCAGGGTAAAATTGAATATGGGATGGGTCTTGTTGGAACAATATTAAAATTTATGAGAATCAAGAAAAAAAATCTAAAAAATGTATATCAAAGAAGTTTGGGTTCTTTCTGTAATCTTTTCATATGTTATTGCTTAAAACCAATGAAAATTCTTAAACAAGCAAAATAAACCTATACTGTTTTGAGTTTCACTCAGAAAGAATTGATATTTTCAATTTTTATGATATATATTTTTTAAATCTCTAAAAAGATTTGCTTATGCAGTTATTATTCATTTGACTGCCTATGCAAAGTACATCGGCTGTTTAACTCACCAATACTAGTCTCCTCTTTAATAGACATAAAAAGAAGAATTCAGGTCTTGTTTCTTGGAGGAGTCTTTATGACGTCTCTGTTGTGGTATGTTACGGCGCATGGATCTGTGCTCAAAATTGACTCTTGTCAACCACTCCATCTATGAGAGAGATCATAGTCTTTATAAATTTCAGACCAATACGACTCACAACCGCCCCCCAAAAATTATGATAATAACTTGATGTTTCCCCACTTTTGGATACTTTATAAAAATAATAAAAATATATGTTTAAAGTGTTAAATGTTTGTATCTTTGTATCTTGTTCAGACACTAAGAATGCGATTTGGACACGTACCTGGTGCGTAGGTTGAGGTATGGTAGGAAGCTCCCTACGCTCCTCTGACTTGTTGATGGCATGTGTCAACTCATACTAAGAAAAATGAAATTTATTAAACATAGAATTATTTAAATGACGATAAAAAAGTAATTTGGACATTAACATACCAGGTATATAAATATACATTTGAATGTTTTTCATTCGTAAAGTGCTTTAGTGTTACCCAGTCTTTAATGTGCTCTCTCCATTCATGAGCAGCAGAAGTAAAGACTTGTTTGCACTGGAGAGAAATAATATACATTATAGAGAGTATTCACTGGAGAGAGAGAGAGAGAGAGAGAGAGAGAGAGCGAGAGAGAGAGAGAGAGAGAGAAGACTTACAGCTGATTTGGCCGCCAGGGCAAGCATCACCTCGTACCACTGACGACTGTCATCTGAAGAGACGTCTATACGGCGCTGGAATTAAAAGTAAATGTCCTGATTATTCAAAGGGATGCAAATTGTGCAAATATCACATTATCAATCTGCAACGCATAACACATAATGCAAATCGGAATTTTATTAATACGTAAACGTTAAAAAATGTTATAAACCATGCTCAAAAAGCTATGAATCTAAGTAAAAGGTTTCCTTCTTCATTTCATTAATAATATTCAGTGGGTTTTTTTTGGGGGGGGGGGGGAGGATATGATTGTCACAATTTTTTTATTGCTTATATTACTATTTAAACAATTTATATTCAAGTTAAATGACATAACCATTGTTGAAAGGACATGAGGTAGCAGTGAGTGCTATTTATAAAAAAAAAAATTATTAAATTTTATACTGTAAACGCTAAAAATGATTTTGGAACGCCCTCCCTAGAAAAGTGGATCCTCTTAAGACCTTCAAAAGATAGTTGAACACTCACCTTATATTTTCTTTATGATAGTCAATACCGCCCCCCCCCCCCCCCCCCATCCCCGAAATGTTTCGTAATTTGCGATTTTTCATTTCATTCTTTTTTCTGTCAAATGGAAAAAAAATGAGTGGAACGTTTCCTTTTTACGACTTGAAATGGACCTCCCAATAAAAAAATTCTTGATATCATACATCCTTGTACTGATTAGGAAATTATGAGTCAAAGGGGAACAACTCTATCAACGATTCTTACTCAGTACGCTCCCTTTTGTTTACAAATCTTGATGAGCTGAAGGTTTCGAAGAAAGAAGGATGTGATTCAGATTATTCCGATAACAATCGTCTTATCAACATGATAAATGAAAAAAGTGAGTAAAAAATGGATGCGACCTAAACTTAAAACAGTTGAAAATAATAGCAACATTTAGGGTAAAATGAGGCATTGTTACATGTAGTTTGTCTATCCTGCATTTCCTCCGTTTATTGGTTTATCATTCATCTTTCAAATCTTGGAGGGGAGGGGGAATAAATAATCCCTACTACTAGTATTTGATTTTCAGTCGAAGTTACGTATTTTAATCATTTGTTTATTGTGTATATATTATTTCCGCGTTAGACAGTATTCTTATAGATTATTTTTTCTTTTAATATTGCCGATCATTCCCTTACATCTCAGGATCTGAACTGCGTGATTCCCCCTCTCCACTGTTTTTTTTTTTTTTTAGATTTGCTTGTGAATGATGTTTTTATTTTCATAACCATAAGATTTTACTAAAATGAAATCAAGGAAATGTTTTTGATTTAGAAATCCTATATAATAAGTAATAAACTCTTATGACGGTAGCCAGAAGAACAAAATGCCACTTGTATCATAGATACAAACATTTAAGACCAATAAAATTTTACTTCCTGAAGAATTACCCTCTTAGACACACTCTTGCTCTTTCTCTCGGAAGATCTTTGTCTTTTCATAGTGATATTTGAGATTTTTGTCGCTCTCTGAAAAACACGTCTACTCGCAACTGATTGAAGTGAGTAACTAACAACAGTAACCAAAACGCAACGCTTCCTAGCAGTTACCAAGCATGACGTCATCACCAATGACAACGCCTAATCTAAATATAGTTTTGAAATAACTAATATCATTAGTTTTTTTTTGTTTGCTTACCTGTAATGTCTCCTGAGAAAAGACCTTTTACAAAAAAGTGGTTATCAATCATGTTAAAACATTTTACAAAGTTGACTGTCTTGTGACGTCATAAAACTGGAAATTGTGGTAGTCTAGTTCCTGCTATTTTTGGTTAGCTTAGCTGTATACAGATGTTATTTGAACATCTCTATTACAAAATTTACAAAAATAAAAAACTTTGAAATTCTTCATTTTTAATCATGCTCAACTTATAGACAAACTGTCTGCATTATAATTATAATTTAGCAATTGAACATCTGCATAATAGTAAAATTCGTTTTTCCTGGGTTCAGGGTTTAGGACCCAGCGATAAACTAATCATCATGCATAAATTTGCATATACAGTACTTTCTTTTGTTTCCTTCTGAATATATTTAATTAATGAACTGTGAGTTCTGGGTACTAAGCAAAGTTACTGAAATATTGAAAATACATTATATTTATTATACTAGTATTTGAAAAGCAGGCAATCTATTCGAATGATACTAATAAGCAAATAACCTTCTACAAATCTTAAATTCATGAACTTTGGGCACACGCCACATATTAAATTATTTATTTGGTTATAGATTTAAAATGAATCAGGAGTTTTTGTCTTCCAGTTGATTCGATACGCAAGAGCCATTGTTCTAAAATTTCTAAAACAAGGCAAGCTATTGACAAATACGTTGATGTTACAAGGATATCAACAATCTCGTTTAAAGTCAACATATTGCAAATTCTATATGGTTGATACAACGGCTTTGTAAGCAAATGTAATTTACCGTTAAGTCGAATGTTGACTGATGTTTTTTTCATACAAATTGTTAGGCCATTATTTTCACACTGAATTGTCTAGAGATTGTTCCGTTTTCCCGATCATGACAAGAAGCACAGGACGGTTGTGACCGGTCAACATGGGCACCTGATCCCACCTTGGTTTTCAGAGGTCAGTGTTGTTTCTGTTCACAAATTGTGTTGTTTAAATGGAACTTCGAGTATGATCACTGTTTGTTATATTCACATTCAAGTAACTTTACATGGACTTAACATGGACTTAACCTTCTTGAGAAATATTTCTGGGACATCTGCTAAATATTTGAATTAATTTTCACATGTACATCTATTTTTCATCCCCCAGTTCTAGTAAACATGAAAAGTTCTTTGAATTTGTATTTCACGGGAAAGCAACATGGCATTTTAAACTTACAGTACGCAGAATTTTGTATATATCTTTACAAAATGTTAGGACGCACCAATTACCGATGAAAGGCTACAAATTTAGACCTAGGCCTATATTAGGCACTTTTGGCCACTGAGCAGTACGGGATCTTTTTTGTGTCAGATCAGGAAGATCAAGATTTACATTGACCTTGGAGAAAGGGTGGGTCCTAAATATGCAGTCAAAGTTTTACATGTAAATAATTAAATAGACTTATTAAAAATATTTTTCTCAAGAACAGTTGGGTTAAGGTAGGTAGTTAAGAGTTGTTGCCCATGATATCCTCTTATTATTTAATATGTAACCCCCCCCCCCCCACGTGAAAAGCGGGGGTGTGTGATGGGGTGTCCGTCCGTCCCTTACGCTTTGGGGTACCTATTTCTTATCCGCAACTCCTCTTATACCACTGGATAAAATTTAATGAGACTTTCACAGTATCTTTGTTACATACATAGAGCCATTATGCACGTCTTGTTTTACTTTTTGATAAGACATATTTTAGGTTTCCCATAGCAAAACATAGACACTGTAATTCTTTCTATAATATTAGGGGTACCCATGTCTTATCCGCAACTCCTCCTATACCACTGAATAAAATTTAATGATACTTTCAAAGAATCTTTATTACATAGTGTCATTGTGCACCTCCTATTTTACTTACTGATAGGACACATATTTCGGGTTTCCAATAGCACAACATAGAACACTGTCATTCTTTCTATAATGTCGAGGGGTACCCATCTCTTATCCGCAACTCCTTCTATACCACTGAATAAAATTTAATGATACTTTCACAGAATCTTTATTACGTAGTGTCACAGTGTCCCTCCTATTTTACTTTTTGATCGCACACTTATTTTGGGTCTCTCATAGCAAAACATGGACTTTGCCATTATAAACATATGGGAGGCGGGGTATCATTTTGTGAGCTCAGTGCTCACAGTACCTCTAGTTTACTTTTGTATCGGTATGATAAAAAACAGTTTAAAACTATATCATTAAGGGAGTTAGCAAGATTGCAGTTCCCCAAGGCCAGGACTATTTCCCGAGGCGAGATTACAGTTCCTCAAGGCCAGGACTATTTCCCGAGGCGAAGCTAACTCCCTCAGTGATACACATTAACTGTATATTTTATTACATTTTTAATAGTGAAATACTGTGATTTATTCATTGAATAAAACTGATATTCTGACACACTGTGAGAGAATATAAAAATGATATCCTTTCACAGTATGAGAGGACATCAACCGGAACTACTTTTTATATTTCTTTGAGGATGTTATATCCCTTGATTACTTTTTCAAATTCTATCATCAAGTTTACTAATTAAGCCCCTTTTGTCTTAATATGAAACAAATTCAAAATACTGGAACTACTTTTTTTTATTTCTACATTGAATTATGTCCCTTGATCCCTTTCTCTTATTTCTATCATCAAATTATCTCCCTTGGCTGAGCTCTTTTGTCGTCTGTTTCAATAATATATATGAAAATGGAAAACAATTACCCTAATGACAACAAATTTAACGAATTGGATTTAAAAGCAATGGCAGGGAATCAAATTGACACAGACAATGACTTAGATGCCTTTATAGAAGACTTAGATGAGGAAACATTAGCAGGAATCAGTTACAACATAATTGGGGATTTTTCAGTTAATCTCTCTCCAGCTGGAGATCAAGTTTCAGAAAAGAAACGCTTTGCTGAGGTCAGTTATGATGACATTGATTTGTTTCTTGCAACTAATGAGAACAAGAACACTTCAAAAAAAACTAAATGTGATATAAATACATTCAAAGAGTTCTTGCAGGCAAAGGGAGAGTTCAGGGTTCCAGAAATAATACCCCCATTTGAGCTAAATTTGCACATAGCATCATTCCTTCTCTCTGTCAAAAAAAAGGATGGCACAGAATATGAGCCAACATCTTTGCGGGCTTACATGTCAAGCATCAATCAATATTTGCAGCAAAAGGAGTATGGGTACTCGGTTATTAATGACCTGCAGTTCAGCAAGGCACGTGATGTTTTGAAAATGAAACAAAAACAGTTGAAGTCACTTGGAAAGGGGAATAAACCCATGGCAGCTGATGACCTTACTGAAAATGAATTCAGAATATTTTATGAGAAGAAAATATTAGGTCCACATACACCTACCTCCCTTACAAATTCCATGTTTACCATTTGCACTAATCACTTTGGAATGAGGCCTGGCAGAGAAATTCATGACTTGACATGGGGAGACATTCAATTAAAATATGATGAGGGAGAAAATTTAGAATACATCGTTTTCAATCAGGAGAGACAAACAAAAACACGAACAGGTGCCAATCCCCGAGATATAAGAAAATTAAAACCAAGGGCTTATGCAACACCAGATGAACCCGAGAAAGACCCTGTTTCTCTTTACAAAAAATACAGTGATGTGCGACCTGAAGAAACCAAACAGGAAAACTCTCCGTTTTTCTTAGCAGTCAATACACGTGCTAACTTAGGTAATATTTTGAAATTAAATTAAAAAATTAATATTAATTTAGTTGTAAACATTATCATGATTATTAACATTTAAATGAAGGAAAACAAAATTTAAAATTGCAACTTAATTCATATTTAAGGAGATTCAACAAGTTACTGGTATAAAAGGAATGCCATGGGTATCAATAAACTATATGGACTGGTTAAACAAATGAAGTCCTCTGCAGGGATTGAGAGTGACAAGAGATTTACTAATCATAGGTATTTTAAAAAGATGCAGATTAAATTAATAATAGTCTGACATTTTATTTTGAATTATTAAAAAGATAAAAAAAAAAAACAAAAACAAAAAAAAACACAAAAAAAACAACAACAGTAAATGAAATTTATTTTTAAAATAAGTGAAAACAAATAAACTAAAGAAAATATTTTCTTTTGTTAGTATGAGGAAACATCTAGTACAGAAATTATCAGATGCCGGTGTTCCAGCCAACCAAATAACCCAAATATCAGGACATAAAAACATCAATAGCATCAACAACTACAGCAAAATAAACAACGACCAAAACAGAAAAATATCGACCATCCTTACATCAGCTGATAAACCGACAACTTTGCCTACATATTCCGCGCCCCAGACAATTTCTCAAACCTTTCAAAACACCCCCAATCAAACAATATCCACTTGCCAGTCACGCATAGATTCGGACATAAGATCTATGCTTTATGGAAACAGTTTCTCGGGTCAAGTAATCTTCAACATCTCGTACGGGCACATGGCTGACAGTGACACGTCGGGCAAGTCAACCTACCATCTTGACGCAAATGACAACCCTCCATCCAAAAAATACAAACGCATCTTACCTTTAGACAGTGACAGCGAATAAAATTATCTCATTTTCATTCAACATCTCAATAAAGCAGTTAAACATGCCAAACTCAATTCCAAACTTTCAAAACCCCGCTTCGATTTGTTTTTGTTAGTAATTCGTCCTTAAGTATTCATACGCGAAATTTTTTATTGATTAAGAAAAGAGAAATATTGTATATTCAATATGTTATCAATGAAATTACTTTAATGATATTATATTAAAGTTGTTTATTTGTTCAAATCTTTTGT